CCCGTGGTATACAGAGTACTGGGTAGCTGCAGGAACAGGGTTGGAGAGCCCATGGCATACGGAGTACTGGGTAGCTGCCGGAACAGGGTTGGAGAGCCCATGGCATACAGAGTACTGGGTAGCTGGAGGAACAGGGTTGGAGAGCCCATGGCATACAGAGTACTGGGTAGCTGGAGGAACAGGGTTGGAGAGCCCATGGCATACAGAGTACTGGGTAGCTGGAGGAACAGGGTTGGAGAGCCCATGGCATACAGAGTACTGGGTAGCTGGAGGAACAGGGTTGGAGAGCCCATGGCATACAGAGTACTGGGTAGCTGGAGGAACAGGGTTGGAGAGCCCATGGCATACAGAGTACTGGGTAGCTGGAGGAACAGGGTTGGAGAGCCCATGGCATACAGAGTACTGGGTAGCTGGAGGAACAGGGTTGGAGAGCCCATGGCTTACAGAGTACTGGGTAGAATATCACCTGTAGTGCGGCGAAATAACCGGAGTAGCCTAGTCGACATGAGTGAAACGGACCGGTTCCTGCCCATTTGATAATGGGCCATTCTAAATCTAAACTAATTTTACATATTAGTAAAGACAAGATCAAATTTGAGAATAGTCTGATGGGTGAAAATATGATGACTTGATGAGAGAACAAGGTGTGCAGCCGGAGGCGAGGAACAGAGCGCAAGCTTTTTTTTTTTTCAACTTTCCCAAATCACCAGCAGCCTGTAGTCGCATCATGCAGCCCAGATATCACCATGCAGCCCAGATATGTTTTGATTTCTAAGGCATTCTATGGTTTGTATCATTCACAACTAAAGTTGCCAAATAACTCTAAATCTAGAGTACAGGACCTGTTTCAAATGATCACTTTTATGCTCAATGTAGTCACTTCATACGCGCACTCGCTCCGGAATGGGAAAAATATCCTTTCTATTTTATTCAGCTAAGTTCAATTATATTCTTACTATAAAATCCTATAAAGTAATGGCACAGGACTTATAAGCATATATTGTCAGCTAAATGAACAAGCCTACAGCCTATGGAATGGAGCACAGCCAGATAATATACAGTAGGCCAACTCATATTCTGTTCTTCTGAAATACATTTTCTTCATATCATAATGTTTATTTAGACCTGCATAAAATAAATAATGGATTTATTGTGATGGTGTATATTCAATTGATTTATTATACTTTTTTTGATGTGCTTTTTACACCTTTTTCGTGATATCCAATTGGTAGTTACAGTCTTGTCCCATCACTGCAACTCCCCTATGGACTCGGAAGAGGCGAAGGTCGAGAGCCATGCGTCCTCCGAAACACGACCCTGCCAAGCCGCACTGCTTCTTGACACACTGCTCGCTTAACCCGGAAGCCAGCCGCACCAATGTGTTCAGAAGGCGACTGAAGTCAGCTTGCAGGCACCCGGCCCACCACTAGGAGGCGCTAGAGTCTGATGGGACAAGGAAATACCGGCCGGCAAAACTGTCCCCTAACCCGGACGATGCTGGGCCAATTGTGCACCGCCTCATGGGTCTCCTGGTCACGGCCGGCTGCCTGGGATCAAACCCGGGTCTATAGTGCCTTAGACCACTGTACCACTTGGGAGGACCTTATTAGACTGCTGTACCACTTGGGAGGACCTTATCAGACTGCTGTACCACTTGGGAGGACCTTATCAGACTGCTGTACCACTTGGGAGGAACTTATCAGACCGCTGTACCACTTGGGAGGAACTTATCAGAACCTTATCAGACCGCTGTACCACTTGGGAGGACCTTATCAGACCGCTGTACCACTTGGGAGGACCTTATCAGACCGCTGTACCACTTGGGAGGACCTTATCAGACCGCTGTACCACTTGGGAGGACCTTATTAGACCGCTGTACCACTTGGGAGGACCTTATTAGACCGCTGTACCACTTGGGAGGACCTTATCAGACCGCTGTACCACTTGGGAGGACCTTATTAGACCGCTGTACCACTTGGGAGGACCTTATTAGACCGCTGTACCACTTGGGAGGACCTTATCAGACCGCTGTACCACTTTGGAGGACCTTATCAGACCGCTGTACCACTTGGGAGGACCTTATCAGACCGCTGTACCACTTGGGAGGACCTTATTAGACCGCTGTACCACTTGGGAGGACCTTATCAGACTTTTTTAAATGTAGATGTTGCAAAAGCACACATCAGCGGCTTGTATGGGGCTTGTATGGGGCTTGTATGGGGCTTGTATGCGGCTTGTATGGGGCTTGTATGGGGCTTGTATGGGGCTTGTATGCGGCTTGTATGCGGCTTGTATGGGGCTTGTATGGGGCTTGTATGGGGCTTGTATAGGGCTTGTATGGGGCTTGTATGCGGCTTGTATGCGGCTTGTATGGGGCTTGTATGGGGCTTGTATGGGGCTTGTATGGGGCTTGTATGGGGCTTGTATGGGGCTTGTGTGCATGGAGGCCTGGAGATGCTAAACCTGTCTATGTTAATTAACGGTAAATTACCGTGAGGCTGGCAGACTTTTGCATGACAATAACCGGCTGACAAAATGTCATGACCGCCACAGCCTTAACTGAATGTTCATTTCTCTACCATAAACCGCCTCCTATGTCATTTTAGAGAATTTGGCATTAAATCCAACCGGCCTCACAATAGCAGACCACATGTATGGTGTTGTGTGGGCGAGCGGTTTGCTGATGTCAACAGAGTGCCCCATGGTGGCGGTGGGGTTATGGTATGGGCAGGCATAAGCGACGGACAACGAACACAATTGCATTTTATCGATGACAATTTGAATGCACAGAGATACCTTGACGAGATCCTGAGGCCCATTGTCGTGCCATTCATCTGCCGCCATCACCTCATGTTTCAGCATGATAACGCACGGCCCCATGTCGCAAGGATCTGTACACATTTCGTGGAAGCTGAAAATGTCCCAGTTCTTCCATGGCCTGCATACTCACCAGACCTGTCACCCATTGAGCATGTTCAGAATGCTCTGGATTGACATGTATGACAGCGGGCCTAATTCAATTGACCGATTTTCCTTTTATGAACTGTAAATCTTAGAAATTGTTGCATGTTGCGTTTATTTTTTTGTTCAGTATAGATGCAGGCAAGCGTGTGCAAGGCGGTATTGAATGTGTCACTGTCTGTCACCTTGATTACTCCAATTGTATCTACTTTATAAACCTTAATTTGTAGGCTAGGTTGTAGCAATCTCATGATGGGTATAGTGCAAATTATAGTATCCTGTAGGTCGGCAGGTAGCTTAGTGGGTAAGAGCGTTGTGCCAGTAACCGAAAGGTCGCTGGTTTTAATCCCCGAGCCGACTAGGTGAAAAGTCTGTAGATGTGCCCTTGAGCAAGGCACTTAACCCTAATTGCTCCTGTAAGTCGCTCTGGATAAGAGCGTCTGCTAAATGACTAAAATGTTATTGCAATATTCCCACAAAATTCTACCTTTTCTACAGGACTGCAATTTTTTCTCTTTGCCCCATTTGCAAAATGTGTAGAAATGCAGGAAGTTAGCTATTTTCCCTATTTATACGTTATATGTGTAAATGTATGTACATATTACTTCAACTACCTCAACTAGCCGGTGCCCCCGCACATTGACTCTGCACCGGTACCCCCCTGTATATATAGCCTCCCTACTGTTATTTTATTTTACTTCTGCTCTTTTTTTCTCAACACTTTTTTGTTGTTGTTTTATTTTACTTTTTTATTAAAAATAAATGCACTGTTGGTTAAGGGCTGTAAGTAAGCATTTCACTGTAATGTCTGCACCTGTTGTATTCGACGCATGTGGCCAATAAAATTGGATTAGATTTGATTAGATTTGTATGAGCTCAGCTAATATAGAAAAGGTAGCATTTTATGGGAATATTGCAATAACATCATTGGACAAACATGTCATTGCACCACCACTAATCCCCTCCCCTTCCCAAAGTTACTGTTGGGTCTTTCGCGAACGAACAGCTCTTTTTGAACAGATCTTTTTGGTGAATGTTCGGGAACTGAATCGCAATGGTAAAAGACCAGTTTATTTGGCTCCCTGATTTGCACACTGCTGTTTTGAGCTCAAATCAATGACTATCTGCAGGTCACTCTATCTGCAGGTCACTCTATCTGCAGGTCACTCTATCTGCAGGTCACTCTATCTGCAGGTCACTCTATCTGCAGGTCACTCTACCTGCAGGTCACTCTATCTGCAGGTCACTCTATCTGCAGGTCACTCTATCTGCAGGTCACTCTATCTGCAGGTCACTCTATCTGCAGGTCACTCTATCTGCAGGTCATTCTATCTGCAGGTCACTCTATCTGCAGGTCACTATCTGCAGGTCACTCTATCTGCAGGTCACTCTATCTGCAGGTCATTCTATCTGCAGGTCACTCTATCTGCAGGTCACTCTACCTGCAGGTCACTCTATCTGCAGGTCACTCTATCTGCAGGTCACTCTATCTGCAGGTCACTCTATCTGCAGGTCACTCTATCTGCAGGTCACTCTACCTGCAGGTCACTCTACCTGCAGGTCACTCTATCTGCAGGTCACTCTATCTGCAGGTCACTCTATCTGCAGGTCACTCTATCTGCAGGTCACTCTATCTGCAGGTCATTCTATCTGCAGGTCACTCTATCTGCAGGTCACTCTCAGAGGGGGAATCCTCACTGCAGAAACAATAAATAGTGGGGCGAGTGTGTCATTCTGGTCCACGTTAATTTTTGCAGTGCGTTAAAAATAAACGTAATTGTTTTGCAGATGATCTAATAAGAATAGGGTGCCAGAGGCCCTGTTCAACAGTAGCGCACTATAAAAGGAATAAGGCCGTAGTCGGACTCTGACCACAGCCTGGTGTCTGAGTGATGGGCCCTTGGGGAACCAACAACAGTAACTACAGAACCATTACAAAACACAAGCATCTGCTACTCTCAACATGGTATGGATCTCATTCAATATTTACACTGCTTTATTATATATAATCAATATACCACTGGTGTCTGGGGGGAGAGGAGAGGAGAGGAGAGGAGAGGAGAGGAGAGGAGAGGAGAGGAGAGGAGAGGAGAGGAGAGGAGGGGAGAGGAAAGGAGGACGGGAGAGGAGAGGAGAGGAGGGGAGAGGAAAGGAGGACGGGAGAGGAGAGGAGAGGAGAGGAGAGGAGAGGAGAGGAGAGGAGCCCCTACATCAGCAGTAGATTAAACAGGGATTTTCAGGAAAGTGATTTAGCATTGATTTCCCTGCAACCACAGCCTAACTGCATTATGTGGGCATTATTGATAGGCTGAAGTGTCTATAATGTACTATACTGTACTATAGTATACTGTACTGTACTGTACTATAGTGTACTGTACTGTACTATAATGTACTGTACTATACTGTACTATACTTTACTATACTATACTGTACTGTACTATAATGTACTATAGTGTACTATACTGTACCATACTGTACTGTACTATAATGTACTATAGTGTACTATACTGTACTGTACTATAATGTACTATACTGTACTGGAGTGTCAAGAAAACTAGAGTTGTTCTGCTAATACATCAGGTTTAACCTCTAAAAGTCTAAGCTGTTGGAGGGGTGGAGGGGGTGGGATTCTACTAAGTTAACATGTGGAATTGTTTTAAGATGGTCATACCATGGATCATTTAACTTTTCATTGTAATTTTAGGACCCTTGTAGGTATCAAAATAAAATATAGAATTTGGCCTTTACTACTAAAGCCTATAGGAACTCTCTGGATAACACATACTTAAATGGCAAATCAGACAGTCAAAAAAATGTATCACAATGAATAACGTTTTTAAGTTTCTGTCCTATATCTAGGAGGTGTAAGAAAGTTCAGGAAATGTTTAAGTTTTTTTGGACACATACAGTATTTAACCCCTGTTTTATGTTGGCACAAAACTACAGTTCCTCCATACTTCCATTCATTTGTTTAACTGGTACCGTGTTACCTTTGGACAAGTCCCGTGACACTTGAGTCGTGGAACACCATCGTGTTCGTGAAAGTCTCATCTTTCCATAGAGTGGTTATATTAATTTTATAGCCCAAATGTATCGGAAGCTACAGACGTTTTCGTGAGAAGACCGATTTTCGGGATGTCTCATGGTCTGACAAACACCTCTCTAGCTCTGTCACCTTTCACCGCAGATGCTGAAGGCCGACATTTGCGGATGCAGTAGATTGAGACGCAACCCATGAAAAAAAACAGATATATCTCTAGCTTAAACTGTCAGATTTTGATGGACTTTTTTATTATACTAATTGGATTGATGTACGGGTGCATCAATAGACTCTTAAACTACATGGAGAAGTCTACTGCGGCCCATAGGACCTGGGTCTAAAGTAGTGCATTATATAGGGAATAGGGAGCCATTCTCTGGTCTAAAGTAGTGCATTATATAGGGAATAGGGAGCCATTCTCTGGTCTAAAGTAGTGCGTTATATAGGGAATAGGGAGCCATTCTCTGGTCTAAAGTAGTGCGTTATATAGGGAATAGGGAGCCTTCTCTGGTCTAAAGTAGTGCGTTATATAGGGAATAGGGTGCCATTCTCTGGTCTAAAGTAGTGCGTTATATAGGGAATAGGGAGCCATTCTCTGGTCTAAAGTAGTGCACTATATAGGGAATAGGGTGCCATTCTCTGGTCTAAAGTAGTGCACTATATAGGGAATAGGGAGCCATTCTCTGGTCTAAAGTAGTGCGTTATATAGGGAATAGGGTGCCATTCTCTGGTCTAAAGTAGTGCGTTATATAGGGAATAGGGAGCCATTCTCTGGTCTAAAGTAGTGCGTTATATAGGGAATAGGGAGCCATTCTCTGGTCTAAAGTAGTGCGTTATATAGGGAATAGGGTGCCATTCTCTGGTCTAAAGTAGTGCGTTATATAGGGAATAGGGTGCCATTCTCTGGTCTAAAGTAGTGCGTTATATAGGGAATAGGGAGCCATTTGGGACTCAGCCCTGGACACTGTCCTGCCCCCCCTGCATCATAACATTGCAATACTTCTATGACCCATACTAGCCAGTATAGCTACAGTGAGCTCCAAAAGTATTGGGACAGTGACACATTTGTTGTTGTTTTGGCTCTGTACTGCAGCGCTTTGGATTTGAAATGATACAACTTTTTGAGTGAGAAAGTTATTGTAATGGTGAGTGTTTAGCATGTCTGGCGGGGGGATATAATATTTGTGTGTCTGTAACTTTATTTTATTTTATTTTATTTTCCCCCCCACCTTTATTTAACCAGGTAGGCCAGTTGAGAACAAGTTCTCATTTACAACTGCGACCTGGCCAAGATAAAGCAAAGCAGTGCGATAAAAACAACAACACAGAGTTACATATGGGGTAAAACAAAACATACAGTCAAAAAATACAACAGAAAATATATATACAGTGTGTGCAAATGTAGCAAGTTATGGAGGTAAGGCAATAAATAGGCTATAGTGCAAAATAATTACAATTAGTATTAACACTGGAATGCTAGATGTGCAAGAGATTATGTGCAAATAGAGATACTGGGGTGCAAAAGAGCAAAATAAATAACAATATAGGGATGAGGTAGTTGGGTGGGCTAATTTCAGATGGGCTGTGTACAGGTGCAGTGATCGGTAAGGTGCTCTGACAACTGATGCTTAAAGTTATTGAGGGAGATAAGAGTCTCCAGCTTCAGAGATTTTTGCAATTTGTTCCAGTCATTGGCAGCAGAGAACTGGCAGGAATGGCGGCCAAAGGAGGTGTTGGCTTTGGGAATGACCAGTGAGATATACCTGCTGGAGCGCAGACTACGGGTGGGTGCTGCTATGGTGACCAATGAGCTAAGATAAGGCGGGGATTTGCCTAGCAGTGATTTATAGATGGCCTGGAGCCAGTGGGTTTGACGACAAACATGTAGTGAGGACCAGCCAACAAGAGCGTACAGGTCACAGTGGTGGGTAGTGTATGGGGCTTTGGAGACAAAACGGATGGCACTATGATAGACTACATCCAATTTGCTGAGTAGAGTGTTGGAGGCTATTTTGTAAATGACATCGCCGAAGTCAAGGATCGGTAGGGTAGTCAGTTTTACGAGGGCATGTTTGGCAGCATGAGTGAAGGAGGCTTTGTTGCGAAATAGGAAGCCGATTCTATATTTAACTTTGGATTGGAGATTCTTAATGTGAGTCTGGAAGGAGAGTTTACAGTCTAACCAGACACCTAGGTATTTGTAGTTGTCCACATACTCACTCTAGGTCAGACCCGTCGAGAGTGGTGATTCTAGTCGGGTGGGCGGGTGCCAGCAGCGTTCGATTGAAGAGCATGCATTTAGTTTTACTAGTGTTTAAGAGCAGTTGGAGGCTACTGAAGGAGTGTTGTATGGCATTGAAGCTCGTTTGGAGGTTTGTTAACACAGTGTCCAATGAAGGGCCAGATGTATACAAAATGGTGTCGTCCGCATAGAGGTGGATCTGAGAGTCACCAGCAGCAAGAGCGACATCATTGATATACACGGAGAAAAGTGTCGGCCCAAGAATTGAACCCTGTGGCACCCCCATAGAGACTGCCATAGGTCCAGACAACAGGCCCTCCGATTTGACACATTGAACTCTATCTGAGAAGTAGTTGGTGAACCAGGCGAGGCAGTCATTTGAGAAACCAAGACTATTTAGTCTGCCAATAAGAATGCGGTGGTTGACCGAGTCGAAAGCCTTGGCCAGGTCGATGAAGACGGCTGCACAGTACTGTCTATTATCAATCGCGGTTATAATATCGTTTAGGACCTTGAGCGTGGCTGAAGTGCACCCATGACCAGCTCGGAAACCGGATTGCATAGCGGAGAAGGTACGGTGGTATTCGAAATGGTCGGTGATCTGTTTCTCACTCATCATTATTCACGATTCATTCAAGACTATCCGCAATCACGGTAGCGTCCACATTAATGTAGAAGAGTTTAGAAACATATTCAATTATTTTTCCCAATAACCCAGAATTACTCCAAAATGACACAATACATTATTAACCATTCATTTCTATTGGGCACAAAATAATCTGAACCAACCAAAAGAAAAACAGCAAATGCATCCAACAAAATTGTAGAGTCAGAGTGGCAAATCAGACAGTCAAAAAAATGTATCACAATGAATAACTTTTTAAGTTTCTGTCCTATATCTAGGAGGTGTAAGAAAGTTCAGGAAATGTTTACGTTTTTTGGACACATCCAGTATTTAACCCCTGTTTTATGTTGGCACAAAACTACAGTTCCTCCATACTTCCATTCATTTGTTTAACTGGTACCGTGTTACCTTTGGACAAGTCCCGTGACACTTGAGTCCTGGAACACCATCGTGTTCGTGAAAGTCTCATCTTTCCATAGAGTGGTTATATTAATTTTATAGCCCAAATGTATCGGAAGCTACAGACGTTTTCGTGAGAAGACCGATTTTCGGGATGTCTCATGGTCTGACAAACACCTCTCTAGCTCTGTCACCTTTCACCGCAGATGCTGAAGGCCGACATTTGCGGATGCAGTAGATTGAGACGTAACCCATGCAAAAAAAAAACATATATCTCTAGCTTAAACTGTCAGATTTTGATGGACTTTTTTATTATACTAATTGGATTGATGTACGGGTGCATCAATAGACTCTTAAACTACGTGGAGAAGTCTACTGCGGCCCATAGGACCTTGGTCTAAAGTAGTGCGTTATATATGGAATAGGGTGCCATTCTCTGGTCTAAAGTAGTGCATTATATAGGGAATAGGGAGCCATTCTCTGGTCTAAAGTAGTGCATTATATAGGGAATAGGGTGCCATTCTCTGGTCTAAAGTAGTGCACTATATAGGGAATAGGGTGCCATTCTCTGGTCTAAAGTAGTGCACTATATAGGGAATAGGGTGCCATTCTCTGGTCTAAAGTAGTGCGTTATATAGGGAATAGGGTGCCATTCTCTGGTCTAAAGTAGTGCATTATATAGGGAATAGGGTGCCATTCTCTGGTCTAAAGTAGTGCACTATATAGGGAATAGGGTGCCATTCTCTGGTCTAAAGTAGTGCGTTATATAGGGAATAGGGTGCCATTCTCTCGTCTAAAGTAGTGCGTTATATAGGGAATAGGGTGCCATTCTCTGGTCTAAAGTAGTGCATTATATAGGGAATAGGGTGCCATTCTCTGGTCTAAAGTAGTGCATTATATAGGGAATAGGGAGCCATTTGGGACTCAGCCCTGGACACTGTCCTGCCCCCCCTGCATCATAACATTGCAATACTTCTATGACCCATACTAGCCAGTATAGCTACAGTGAGCCCCAACAGTATTGGGACAGTGACACATTTGTTGTTGTTTTGGCTCTGTACTGCAGCGCTTTGGATTTGAAATGATACCACTTTTTGAGTGAGAAAGTTATTGTAATGGTGAGTGTTTAGCATGTCTGGCGAGGGGGTATAATATTTGTGTGTCTGTAACTTTATTTTATTTTCCCCCCACCTTTATTTAACCAGGTAGGCCAGTTGAGAACAAGTTCTCATTTACAACTGCGACCTGGCCAAGATAAAGCAAAGCAGTGCGATAAAAACAACAACACAGAGTTACATATAGGGTAAAACAAAACATAAAGTCAAAAAAATACAACATAAAATATATATACAGTGTGTGCAAATGTAGCAAGTTATGGAGGTAAGGCAATAAATAGGCTATAGTGCAAAACAGTTACAATTAGTATTAACACTGGAATGCTAGATGTGCAAGAGATTATGTGCAAATAGAGATACTGGGGTGCAAATGAGCAAAATAAATAACAATATAGGGATGAGGTAGTTGGGTGGGCTAATTTCAGATGGGCTGTGTACAGGTGCAGTGATCGGTAAGGTGCTCTGACAACTGATGCTTAAAGTTAGTGAGGGAGATAAGAGTCTCCAGCTTCAAGATTTTTGCAATTAGTTCCAGTCATTGGCAGCAGAGAACTGGAAGGAATGGCGGCCAAAGGAGGTGTTGGCTTTGGGAATGACCAGTGAGATATACCTGCTGGAGCGCAGACTACGGGTGGGTGCTGCTATGGTGACCAATGAGCTAAGATAAGGCGGGGATTTGCCTAGCAGTGATTTATAGATGGCCTGGAGCCAGTGGGTTTGACGACGAACATGTAGTGAGGACCAGCCAACAAGAGCGTACAGGTCACAGTGGTGGGTAGTATATGGGGCTTTGGAGACAAAACGGATGGCACTGTGATAGACTACATCCAATTTGCTGAGTAGAGTGTTGAAGGCTATTTTGTAAATGACATCGCCGAAGTCAAGGATCGGTAGGATAGTCAGTTTTACGAGGGCATGTTTGGCAGCATGAGTGAAGGAGGCTTTGTTGCGAAATAGGAAGCCGATTCTAGATTTAACTTTGGATTGGAGATTCTTAATGTGAGTCTGGAAGGAGAGTTTACAGTCTAACCAGACACCTAGGTATTTGTAGTTGTCCACATACTCTAGGTCAGACCCGTCGAGAGTGGTGATTCTAGTCGGGTGGGCGGGTGCCAGCAGCGTTCGATTGAAGAGCATGCATTTAGTTTTACTAGTGTTTAAGAGCAGTTGGAGGCTACTGAAGGAGTGTTGTATGGCATTGAAGCTCGTTTGGAGGTTTGTTAACACAGTGTCCAATGAAGGGCCAGATGTATACAAAATGGTGTCGTCTGCGTAGAGGTGGATCTGAGAGTCACCAGCAGCAAGAGCGACATCATTGATATACACAGAGAAAAGAGTCGGCCCAAGAATTGAACCCTGTGGCACCCCCATAGAGACTGCCATAGGTCCAGACAACAGGCCCTCCGATTTGACACACTGAACTCTATCTGAGAAGTAGTTGGTGAACCAGGCGAGGCAGTCATTTGAGAAACCAAGGCTATTTAGTCTGCCAATAAGAATGCGGTGGTTGACAGAGTCGAAAGCCTTGGCCAAGTCGATGAAGACGGCTGCACAGTACTGTCTATTATCAATCGCGGTTATAATATCGTTTAGGACCTTGAGCGTGGCTGAAGTGCACCCATGACCAGCTCGGAAACCGGATTGCATAGCGGAGAAGGTATGGTGGTATTCGAAATGGTCGGTGATCTGTTTCTCACTCATCATTATTCACGATTCATTCAAGACTATCCATAACCACGGTAGCATCCACATTAATGTAGAAGAGTTTAGAAACATGTTCTATTATTTTTCACAATAACCCAAAATTACTCAAAAATGACACAATACATTATTTACCATTCATTTCTATTGGGCACAAAATAATCTGAAACACAACCGAAACAAAACAGCAAATGCATCCAACAAGTTTGTAGAGTCAAACACATGATGTAGTCATTGCCTGCTAGGAATATGGGACCAAATACTAAACTTTAGACTACTTTAATACACATATAAGTGAACTTGTCCCAATACTTTCGGTCCCCTAAAACATACAAAAAGTGCTGTAATTTCTAAACGGTTCACCGGATATGGATGAAAATTTAATGTGATTTGGAAGGAGTCAGTCGCATAACCTCTCACATAATACGTTGCATGGACTCACTCTGTGGGTAATAATAGTGTTTAGCAAAAATGTGGCAAAGAAATTAACTTTATGTCCTGAATACAAAACGTTATGTTTGGGACAAATCCAACACAACAACACATCACTGAGTACCACTATTCATGTTTTCAAACATGGTGGTGGCTGCATCATGTTATGGGTATTGCTTGTAATCATTAAGGACTGGGGAGTTTTCCAGGATAAAAAAAAGAAATGGAATGGAGCTAAGAACAGGCAAAATCCTAGAGGAAAACCTGGTTCCGTCTGCTTTCCACCAGACACTGAGAGATGAATTCACCTTTCAGCAGGACAATAACCTAAAACACAAGGCCAAATATACACTGGAGTTGCTTACCAAGAAGACAGTGAATGTTCCCGAGTGGGCGAGTTACAGTTTTGACTTAAATTGGCTTGAAAATCTATGGCAAGACTTGAAAATGGCTGTCTAGCAATGATCAACAACCAACTTAACAGAGCTTGAAGAATTTTAAAAAGAATAATGTGCAAATATTGTACAATCCAGGTGTGAAAGCTCTTAGAGACTTACCCAGAAAAACTCACAGCTTTAAACGCTGCCAAAGGTGATTCTAACGTGTTGACTCAGGGGTGTGTAAATTATATAATTCTGTATTTCATTTTCAAAAATGTCTATAAACATGTTTTGACTTTGTCACTGTGGGGTATTGTGTGTAGACGGGTGAGAAAAACAACATTTAATTTTTATTTTGAATTCAGGCTGTAACACAACAAAATATGGAATAAGTCCAGGGGTATGAATACTTTCCGAAGGCACTGTACATTTCATTGACTTGAATTACAGTATATTATTCCAGTGTGAATCACCAAAAAAAAAAACCTGTTAAACTCAGTTATTAATGCATCTTAAATCCAATCGGTGTTGACTGGCCTCTGGTCCATGTGGCTGAGAGGGGCGGGGCAGGCAGACTAGCAGCAGCAGCAGCAGAAATAGCAGGCTGACAGATTGGAGCAGGAGTGGGCTGCAGTAGTAGGTTGTTGGGGGGATGATGTAGCAGGACTGCGTTACGCGGTTGAATAAACAGCTTCGTCTTCTTGGGACTGACTGATTCTGCTGAGTACGTTGCCTATTGGCTCCGTGACGAGGGTCCTCTGACTGCCCTCTCCTCTCGCCCTCTCCGTTCCTCTCCTCTCCGTTCCTCTCCTCTCCGTTCCTCTCCTCCCGTGACGACGGTACAGGATTCACTCACTCCTCCGACTGCCCTCTGCTCTCTGTTCCTCTCCTCTCCGTTCCTCTCCTCCCGTGACGACGGTACAGGATTCACTCACTCCTCCGACTGCCCTCTGCTCTCTGTTCCTCTCCTCTCCGTTCCTCTCCTCCCATGACGAGGGTACAGGATTAACTCAGTCCTCTGACTGCCCTCTCCTCGTCTCCATTCCTCTCTTCTCCTCCTCTCCGTTCCTCTCCTCCCGTGACGAGGGTACAGGATTAACTCAGTCCTCTGACTACAGACTAGACCCTGTCCTCTTCAACTCATCGGACTGATTGGAAGGTACAGTACATGTATGAATATGAGTGCCTATTCGGTGTAATGTCTTGTCTAGGTTAGATGGTTGGGTGGTAAACATACGGTAAGTAGCCAGTCTGGCCGGCCAGGGAATGCATTGCAGTGTGTGTTCATCATATTTCAGAGAGAGAGAGAGAGAGAGAGAGAGAGAGAGAGAGAGAGAGAAGAGAAGAGAGAAGATAGCGCTCTATGATCGCTCGGCAGTCGTTAGAGACGATATCTCGAGCGAGCTTAGACCGAGAGAGCTCCTCTCTCTCTCGCTCTCTCTCTCGCTCTCTCTCTCTCCTCTCCTCTCTCTCCTCTCTCCTCTCTCTCTCTCTCGCTCTCTCTCTCTCTCTCTCGCTCTCCTCGCTCTCTCGCTCTCTCTCTCGCTCTCGGCTCTCTCTCTCGCGCTCTCTCTCCCCCTCTCGCTCTCGTCTCTTCTCTCTCTCTCGTCTCTCGTCTCTCTCTCTCCTCGCTCTCTCTCTCTCCTCTCTCTCCTCTCTGCTGCAGCTCTCTCCACCCGATCGTCTTGATTCCTTATGTCTGTTCTGCTCTTGTCAACGGAGATAATGTGATAACTGCAAAGTATTGGAAGTTTGTGTGTGGGTTGTTTGTGGTAGGTATCTATACAATAGGCCTCTACAACGTCTATACCTAGTAGGTAACAGTCAGACATCTCCTTCCTTTACTGAACCCCACATCAGACAGCTTCCTTCCTCTAACTGAAACCCAACATTCAGACATCCTTCCTTCCTCTACTGAAACCCAACAGTCAGACATCTTCCTTCCTCTACTGAAACCCAACAGTCAGACAGCTTCCTTCCTCTACTGAAACCCAACATTCAGACATCTTCCTTCCTCTACTGAAACCCAACAGTCAGACATCTTCCTTCCTCTACTGAAACCCAACATTCAGACAGCTTCCTTCCTCTACTGAAACCCAACAGTCAGACATCTTCCTTCCTCTACTGAAACCCAACATTCAGACAGCTTCCTTCCTCTACTGAAACCCAACAGTCAGACATCTTCCTTCCTCTACTGAAACCCAACAGTCGGACATCTTCCTTCCTCTACTGAAACCCAACAGTCAGACAGCTTCCTCTATTCAGGCTGTCAGATGAAAAACACATTATAGGGATTCCTCTCCTGCATAATGTATAGCCAGGCTGTGATTGGTTAATATCTGGTTGGCAACAGCAGCAGACTAGTTCCTCCTGCTTCTCATGCTGCCAGCCATGTGTGTGGTGTGGATATGTGTATATGTGGTGTGTGTGTGTGTGGTGTGTGTGTATGGGTGGTGTGTGTGTGGTATGTGTGTATATGTGCTGTGTGTGGTGTGTGTGTGTGCTGTGTGTGTGCTGTGTGTGTGTGCTGTGTGGTGTGTGTGCTGTGTGTGTGTGTGTGTGTGTGTGTGTGTGTGTGCTGTGTGTGCTGTGTGTATGGTGTGTGTGTGTGTGTGTGTGTGTGTGTGTGTGTGTGTGTGTGTGTGTGTGTTCGTTATGCCACTGTGCTTCTCTCTGCTGCAGCATCAACAGTACTGCTGTCACCATGGCAACAGGGAGGGCTCTGACCCCCCGGAGTGTAGTAACCATAGTAACAATGTACAGGCTGCAGGCGTGACCTGGATTCCACACTACGACTGTTGTTCTACCGTTTTAATGCCATTCAAACTAGTGTGTTAGTAGTTATTGTGCTATAGCTAGGGACTATGTTTTGGTTAATCATGTCATATGACCTGGATTTTAAAATGTATTAAATAAAAATAAATGAAGCAGTTGACTGAGGATGGAGCTGGACCATCTGACATGAAAAGAAAAGGGGACAGTTTGATGAAAAAGCTTTAAATAAAGGTTCAAATTCAGGTCATGTGACAGGATCAACCAAAACACAAGCGCCTACCTATACCCCATTCACACTGCCACTGTACCGTTATGATAACCCCCATTCACACTGCCACTGTACTGTTATGATAACCCCCATTCACACTGCCACTGTACTGTTATGATAACCCCCATTCACACTGCCACTGTACTGTTATGATAACCCCCCATTCACACTGCCACTGTACCGTTATGATAACCCCCATTCACACTGCCACTGTACCGTTACGATAACCCCCATTCACACTGCCACTGTACCGTTACGATAACCCCCATTCACACTGCCACTGTACTGTTATGATAACCCCCATTCACACTTCCCCATTCACTCTACTGGTTAGTTATTCTACTGTTAGTGTGTACAGTGGCTTGCGAAAGTATTCACCCCCTTGGCATTTTTCCTATTTTGTTGCCTTACAACCTGGAATTAAAATATATTTTTGGGGGGTTTGTATCATTTGATTTACACAACATGCCTGCCATACTTTTTCTTGTGAAACAAACAAGAAATAAGACAAAAAACAGAAAACTTGAGCGTGCATAACTATTCACCTCCCCCAAAGTCAATACTTTGTAGAGCCACCTTTTGCAGCAATTACAGCTGCAAGTCTCTAGCCACTGGGATTTTTGCCCATTCTTCAAGGCAAAACTGCTCCAGCTCCTTCAAGTTGGATGGGTTCCGCTGGTGTACAGCAATCTTTAAGTCATACCACAGATTCTCAATTGGATTGCGGTCTGGGCTATGACTAGGCCATTCCAAGACATTTTAATGTTTTCCCTTAAACCACTCAAGTGTTGCTTTAGCAGTATGCTTAGGGTCATTGTCCTGCTGGAAGGTGAACCTCCATCCCAGTCTCAAATCTCTGGAAGACTGAAACAGGTTTCCCTCAAGAATTTCCCCATCCATCATTCCTTCAATTCTGACAAGTTTCCCAGTCCCTGCCGATGAAAAACATCCCCACAGCATGATGCTGCCACCACCATGCTTCACTGTGGGGATGGTGTTCTCGGGGTGATGAGAGGTGTTGGGTTTGCCCCAGACATAGTGTTTTCCTTGATGGCCAAAAAGCTCAATTTTAGTCTCATCTGATCAGAGTACCTTCTTCCATATGTTTGGGAAGTCTCCCACATGCCTTTTGGCAAACACCAAACGTGTTTGCTTATTTTTTTCTTTAAGCAATGGCTTTTTTCTGGCCACTCTCCCGTAAAGCCCAGCTCTGTGGAGTGTACGGCTTAAAGTGGTCCTATGGACAGATACTCCAATCTCCGATGTGGAGCTTTGCAGCTCCTTCAGGGTTATCTTTAGTTTCTTTGTTGCCTCTCTGATTAATGCCCTCCTTGCCTGGTCTGGTAGTTTTGGTGGGCTGCCCTCTCTTGGCAGGTTTGTTGTGGTGCCATATTCTTTCCATTTTTTAATAATGGATTTAATGGTGGTCTGTGGGATGTTCAAAGTTTCTGATATTTTGTTACAACCCAACCTGATCTGTACTTCTCCACAACTTTGTCCCTGACCTGTTTGGAGAGCTCCTTGGTCTTCATGGTGCCGCTTGCTTGGTGGTGCCCCTTGCTTAGTGGTGTTGCAGACTCTGGGGCCTTTCAGAACAGGTGTATATGTACTGAGATCATGTGACAGATCATGTGACACTTAGATTGCACACAGGTGGACTTTATTTAACTAATTATGTGACCACTTTTCCGTTATTTGTTTTTTCGAATTTTTTAAACCAGTTATATTTTTCATTTCACTTCACCAATTTGGACTATTTTGTGAATGTCCATTACATGAAATCCAAATAAAAATATATTTAAATTACAGGTTGTAATGCAACAAAATAGGAAAAACGCCAAGGGGGATGAATACTTTTGCAAGGCTCTGTATAGTCCCCATTCACTCTACTGGTTAGTTAGCGGAACTGCTTTCTAGTATTGCATGGCTTCTATTTAACCTCTAAGGGATCAGTGTCCCGTATACTGGACGGTTGAGCTAACGTTCGCTAATGTGATTAGCATGACTGTTGTAAGTAACAGCAAACTTTCCAGGACATAGACATGTCTTATATGGGCAGAAAGCTTAAATTCTTGTTAATCTAACTGCACTGTCCAATTTACAGTAGCTATTACAGTGAAAAAATACCATGCTATTGTTTGAGGAGAGTGCACAACAACAAAAAACGTATCACGGCAACTGGTTTGATACATTCAGTAATCTTGCTCTGATTTGTCATCCTAAGGGTCCCAGAGATAAAATGTAGCATAGTTTTGTTTGATAAAATCAATTTTTATATTCAAATGTAGGAACTGGGTCCTACAGTTTGAACCCCTGCTGTCTCTGGCTCCACACCCACCCCGCCCGGCCATCTAGATGTGTGAAAGTTAGTGTATAAGCTAATGATCCATCATGTATGACATTCCTGGGAGTGTGTAAACTTACATTTTGTATTACCATAACATTTTTGAATTTTCTCTATACTATAGTTATGTACTTGAAAATGTATCAATTGACCAATTCCGCACATTTGGGCAGATACAAAATAGTCCAGAATTGCAATACTCGAGACCCATGAGGCAGCGCTCAATTGGCCCAGCGTCGTCCAGGGTAGGGGAGGGAATGGCCGGCAGGGATGTAGCTCAGTTGGTAGAGCATGGCGTTTGCAACGCCAGGGTTGTGGGTTCGATTCCCACGGGGGGGCCAGTATGAAAAAAAATAAAAAGAATGTATGCACTCACTAACTGTAAGTCGCTCTGGATAAGAGCGTCTGCTAAATGACTAAAATGTGATGTAAATGTAATGGATCAATCTGAAACTTTGCACACACACTGACAAATAAATGTGTATGATTTCAGATCGGTCTTCCTTGGAGAAGGGTGTAATTGCTGACGGCAATGAGGGGCGTTTTCTGACATAGGCTTTTCTTGATATCAAGTTACTCCCATTGATACTCGCCATTGATCTGTGGCCATTTCTTTCGCGTCGGCAACAACTGTAGCATTGTAGCTAAGCCTAACCCTAACCCTTTTCCTAACCTTATCCCCAGTCTCCTAGCCTGCCACGCTAATCCACCTGACCTCCCACGTTAATTATCCTAACCTGGCATGTTAATGATCCTAATCTGGCATGTTAATGATCCTAACCTGGCATGTTAATGATCCTAACCTGGCATGTTAATGATCCTAACCTGGCACATGAGTTATTCTAACCTGCTATGTAAACAAACCATCTGTGTCGAGAAACCATCAGTCTCATAACACCGGAACTGACCAATGGCACGTATAAATGAGCGTTTCCTGATATCAGGGAACACCCACATCAAGAAACACCCAGAATTGCGGTCTGAAATGACACCAAATTCCTTAATTCAGACGTTGACTCCATACTACAGACGTAGTTCCCTGTCAGTCCTCTAGGTTGTGCTGTGTTGTTAACTCAGAGGTCCTCTCCTCTCCTCCCAGTGATGGAGCAGCAGCGGGGTGCGGGCCCTCCAGGGGGTGTGGTGTCGGGGGTGTGGACCCCGTCCGTCAGGAGGAACAGCAAGCTGGCCAGTCTGGGACAGATCTTTAAACCATGGAAATGGAGGAAAAAGAAGAACGAGAAGAACTCCACAGGTGAGAGACGAGATGAGACGAGACTAGACGACACGAGACGAGACGACACGAGACGACATGAGACGAGACAACACGACACGAGACGACACGACACGAGACGAGACGACACGAGACGACACAACACGACACGAGACGAGACGACACGACACGACACGAGACGAGACGACACGAGACGACATGAGACGAGACAACACGACACGAGACGACACGACACGAGACGAGACAACACGAGACTACATGAGACGAGACGAGACGAGACGACATGACAATAGATGAGACGAGACGACACGAGACGAGACGAGACGAGATGACATGACAATAGATGAGACGACATGACAATAGATGAGACGAGACGACACGACACGAGGCGAGACGAGACGAGATGACATGACAATAGATGAGATGACATGACACGAGACGACACGACACGACACGAGACGAGACGAGATGACATGACAATAGATGAGACGACATGACACGAGACGAGACGACATGACACGAGACGAGACGAGATGACATGACAATAGACGAGACGACATGACACGAGACGAGACTAGACGAGATGACATGACAATAGACGAGACGACATGACACGACACAACACGACACGAGACGAGACGACACGACACGACACGAGACGAGACGACACGAGACGACATGAGACGAGACAACACGACACGAGACGACACGACACGAGACGAGACAACACGAGACTACATGAGACGAGACGAGACGAGACGACATGACAATAGATGAGACGAGACGACACGAGACGAGACGAGACGAGATGACATGACAATAGATGAGACGACATGACAATAGATGAGACGAGACGACACGACACGAGGCGAGACGAGACGAGACTACATGAGACGAGACGAGACGAGACGACATGACAATAGATGAGACGAGACGACACGAGACGAGACGAGACGAGATGACATGACAATAGATGAGACGACATGACAATAGATGAGACGAGACGACACGACACGAGGCGAGACGAGACGAGATGACATGACAATAGATGAGACGACATGACACGAGACGACACGACACGACACGAGACGAGACGAGATGACATGACAATAGATGAGACGACATGACAGGAGACGAGACGACATGACACGAGACGAGACGAGACGAGATGACATGACAATAGACGAGACGACATGACACGAGACGAGACTAGACGAGATGACATGACAATAGACGAGACGACATGACACGAGACGAGACTAGACGACACAAGACGACACGAGACGACACTTTGATCACAGAGCCCTAGGTCTCAACATGACTTCCTGTCCCCCTGTCCCCCCAAAAAAGGTCAAATAAAGGTTAAATACAAAAAATCTAATCTAATCTAAAACGACTGAGTGTAAATTTTTGGTATGTTACCCCAGAGGGAATCGAACCCACAACCCTGCCGTTACTCTGTGTGTTTCAGCTTTAGAGAGGAAGACAGCGGCGCAACAGACTCGGGATGGACTGGCCAAGAGGGGCTTGGAGGGGATTGAACCAGGTACACACGCACATGAACACATACACACACACACAAATACACACACACAAATACACACACAGTTTCCAACCCATTATAACAAAATAACATGTTATTTTCATGTGTATAAAAGTATGTAATGTTGCCGCCTTCTGTGTGTGTGTGTGTGTGTGTGTGTGTGTGTGTGTGTGTGTGTGTGTGTGTGTGTGTGTGTGTGTGTGTGTGCATGCGCGCGTGTGTAGAGTTTTGTGAGGCGTGTGGGGGGGTAGAAGACTCGGACACTCCCAGCCAATCAGACGCAGAGGAGAGAGAAGAGGAGGAGCCTCTGGCGCCCCTGGCAAACACCTCAGAGGACCTGGTCAGCGATGAAGACAACCCCTCTACAGGTAGGACCTATGACCTCTGAACCCTGACCTCTAATCTCTAGGGTTTTAGCGTATCAGAGGGCGTGTTCGAGAGCATCAAATCTGTGATGCATTGTGGGTAAATTGTGACTGACTGACTGATCTACAAATTGTATATTTTTATACAGATTTGTATTTATTATTCACACATCCATTACCCCCTCTCTTCGGAGGACACATATCTTTTTTGGTTTTAGAGCTTTTCTGCTCCATTTACATAAATTTGCCATACATGGTACTTTTACATACAACAATCACATAACGATAACACATTACTGAACATAAGCTCTTTAATCCCGCCCCTCAGCCACCCTCAGCCCATCCCACCTATCACCATACACCACCCCTCAGCCACACTCAGCCCATCCCACCTATCGCCATAGACCACCCCTCAGCCACGCTCAGCCCATCCCACCTATCGCCATAGACCACCCCTCAGCCACGCTCAGCCCATCCCACCTATCGCCATAGACCACCCCTCAGCCACGCTCAGCCCATCCCACCTATCGCCATAGACCACCCCTCAGCCACGCTCAGCCCATCCCACCTATCGCCATACACCACCCCTCAGCCACGCTCAGCCCATCCCACCTATCGCCATACACCACCGCTCAGCCACGCTCAGCCCATCCCACCTATCGCCATAGACCACCCCTCAGCCACGCTCAGCCCATCCCACCTATCGCCATAGACCACCCCTCAGCCACGCTCAGCCCATCCCACCTATCGCCATAGACCACCCCTCAGCCACGCTCAGCCCATCCCACCTATCGCCATAGACCACCCCCTCAGCCACGCTCAGCCCATCCCACCTATCGCCATACACCACCCCTCAGCCACGCTCAGCCCATCCACCTATCGCCATAACACCACCGCTCAGCCACGCTCAGCCCATCCCACCTATCGCCATAGACCACCCCTCAGCCACGCTCAGCCCATCCCACCTATCGCCATAGACCACCCCTCAGCCACGCTCAGCCCATCCCACCTATCGCCATAGACCACCCCTCAGCCACGCTCAGCCCATCCCACCTATCGCCATAGACCACCCCTCAGCCACGCTCAGCCCATCCCACCTATCGCCATACACCACCCCTCAGCCACCCCCACCACGCTCAGCCCATCCCACCTATCGCCATACACCACCGCTCAGCCACGCTCAGCCCATCCCACCTATCGCCATAGACCACCCCTCAGCCACGCTCAGCCCATCCCACCTATCACCATACACCACCCCCTCAGCCACGCTCAGCCCATCCCACCTATCGCCATACACCACCCCTCAGCCACGCTCAGCCCATCCCACCTATCACCATACACCACCCCTCAGCCACGCTCAGCCCATCCCACCTATCACCATACACCACCCCTCAGCCACTCTCAGCCCATCCCACCTATCGCCATACACCACCCTCGTTTGGTTTCCATGTGCCACATATTTTTAAATTGTGCGGTGATGTTTTACATAAAAAATTATCGCATAGTAGCCACAGATTGTGAGCCAAAGAATAATAATAATAATAATGATGAGTAGCTGATTAAGATGCAAGGTGATTTATAGATCAATCAGTTGGCATTTGCCTGCAATGTCGGCTGCAATGTCGAACAAGTCCAATGTGCAGGTTGACTGGTTCAGGACTGCAGTGCTGTGCTGTGTGTGACGGAAAGTTCTCTAAACCACCACTGGGGGGCGACACAGATCGTTGAAGTCAGCTGTGCTCTCTACTGCTTAGCAGCTGAAACACTGCAGTTACACCATGAATCAGATCTAACACAGGTTGCCTCCCAAATGGCCAGGGCCGGATTACCGAATGGGAACGCAGGGCATGTGCCCCGGGACCTCCGACGTCCAGAAATGTGGGGTTTGGGGGACCCCTGGAGGTCGGGGGACCCCCACATAGCATATGGTAGCAAAATGTGTAGAATTGCAGGACATTAGCTTTAAAACTGCACCGGGGCCCCAAATGTGGTAGTCTGGCTCTGCAAATGGCACCCTATTCCCTATGTGCCAGGCCCTGATTAACAGCAGTGAACCATATGGGGAATAGGGTTGCCAGGCCCTGGTTAACAGCAGTGAACCATATGGGGAATAGGGTTGCCAGGCCCTGATTAACAGCAGTGAACCATATGGGGAATAGGGTTGCCAGGCCCTGGTTAACAGTAGTGAACCATATAGGGAATAGGGTTGCCAGGCCCTGATTAACAGTAGTGAACCATATAGGGAATAGGGTTGCCAGGCCCTGATTAACAGTAGTGAACCATATAGGGAATAGGGTGCCATTTGAGACCCACAGGGACAGAATGGGAGCTAACAGTAACCCACAGTAACCCACAGTAACCGAGGTAACCCACAGTAACCAAGGTAACCTGATCAAGCAGGATCAAAGAGTTCGACAGAAAACTGTCCTAAATATTCTGAACGAACTATGTATTTACAACAAAGCACTGTGTTTTTTGATGTTTGTTGTTGTTGTTTTTGTTGTTGATGTTGATGTGTGTTTCAGCTGTTGACCTGACGGAAGACACTTTGACAGTGGCGGAGCAGAGTGAGGATGGAGGGGAGGAGGACACTGCCCTCTGTGAGCCCTGTGAGGACAGCTCTCTGGTACAGGCTGAGACAGGAGGGGGGCAGGAGACACCTCGCCCCATGGACTCCCCACCCTGCCGGGACGGCACCCCGCCACCCCCCAACCTGCCCAAACTACTGACCAGGCTGGGCAGTCTAGAGGGTGAGTCCCAAATCGGCCCCTAGCCCCTGTTCCTGGCCTGTTAGCATGTTAGCTAACTAGAACCAGTCTCTGTTACTGGCCTGTTAGCATGTTAGCTAACTACAACCAGCCTCTGTTACTGGCCTGTTAGCATGTTAGCTAACTATAACCAGCCTCTGTTACTGGCCTGTTAGCATGTTAGCTAACTATAACCTGCCCCTGTCCTGGCCTGTTAGCATGTTAGCTAACTATAACCAGTCTCTGTTACTGGCCTGTTAGCATGTTAGCTAACTATAACCAGCCTCTGTTACTGGCCTGTAAGCATGTTAGCTAACTACAACCAGCCTCTGTTACTGGCCTGTTAGCATGTTAGCTAACTATAATCAGCCTCTGTTACTGGCCTGTTAGCATGTTAGCTAACTATAACCAGCCCCTGTTCCTGGCCTGTTAGCATGTTAGCTAACTATAACCAGCCTCTGTTACTGGCCTGTTAGCATGTTAGCTAACTATAACCAGCCTCTGTTACTGGCCTGTTAGCATGTTAGCTAACTACAACCAGCCTCTGTTACTGGTCTGTTAGCATGTTAGCGAACTATAACCAGCCTCTGTTACTGGCCTGTTAGCATGTTAGCTAACTATAACCAGCCTCTGTTACTGGCCTGTTAGCATGTTAGCTAACTATAACCAGCTTCTGTTACTGGTCTGTTAGGCATGTTAGCTAACTATACCAGCCTCTGTTACTGGCCTGTTAGCATGTTAGCTAACTATAACCAGCCTCTGTTCCTGGCCTGTTAGCATGTTAGCTAACTGAAGCCAGCCTCATAAAGCTAGCTAACGTTAACCAGCCTGCTAGCTTACTAACTCTAACCAGGCTCATACAGCTAGCTATCTACTGTCCAGGCTGGGTAGTCTAAAGGGTCAGTGAGCTAGACTTCACACTGGGGCTGACAGAGGGTTAGCTTGAACTGTCCCAGATCATCATAGTATCTTATCAAAGACAGTACAGTATGAAGATAGGCAGAAACTGCTCCTCCAAATCCCCGATCACACTTGTAGGCGATGTCATGGCGACATCGGGTCTAACGGTTGTCTCGTACCGAACTGCGCATTTGCAGGCTGTCAAATCAAAGGAACTCCTTCGATATAAAGTAGTTTTTGATGAACATGAAAACGTGTCAGTTTGTCACTTTCACGAGGTTGGAGTAATACCATGATCAACTACTTCAGACATTGGCTCTAATCCAGGTTGTGGCTTTAGATTTCGAGAAAATTAACAACTAAGGAAGAATCTTTCACTTCTCTCACCCCGGCCTGGTTCTGTTTGGTCTGTTTCACAAGCGTTCCCGGAAGTCTCGCGATGTTACGCCTCTGGGTTTAGAAACTCTGTGATCTTATATCTTATAAGTAACACTATATCTGATAACATATCCTCACCCTATCCCGTGAAGAAGTTTACCAGGACCTTCACCATTACGGGTATATTAACATTAACATTTTATTCTTCCCCTCTATTTGGGTCCTAACCTAGAGAGGAAGAGATCTCCAGCCACTCTACCCATGACCTTCACCATTACATTAACTAACATTATCATTATATTATTCTTCCCCTCTATTTGGGTTACATTAACTAACATTATCATTATATTATTCTTCCCCTCTTAAAGGGTCTCACCCTTCCCAAGCGGGTCCCCTAAAAACTCAGCCTCACCGAATTACGTA